ATGTTTAAATAATGCTTATATTCTTCGTTTTTTTTTTCTTTTCTTTTAATTTTCGAATCATAATGACTGAAAAGTCTTTGGTTTTTTTTCCTTGTGTCATTTCAAAGGGAGCCAAGTCCATTACTACCTTTGAAATCCTGCCACAACCTCCAGTAACGAGAGCAGAGAATAATCCCTGGCCAACTTGGCCTCGAATTTTCAGAGTGGATTATGGTCATGAGGAAGTCCAGCTAAAATGGGGTCGGGACCCACGTGTCTTCAACATAAAGAGCTTGGTAAGGCAATCATCTAAAATATTGAATGATACAATATAACATAGAATTTATCCAAATTCATTTACTATGACTTCGAAAATAGTCTACATGTGAGACTTCATGTAAATGTGCAAAATGTTGTTTAACTAATCAGGAATTTGAAGGTGATGAGAGTGGCAATGTGACTGGTGTTAAAACATCACTTGTTGATTGGGTCAAAGATGACAGCGGACGCTGGATTATGAAAGATGTTCCAGGTATATCAATACAATAGTTTTTTTTAAAATGAAAATAGTTTTCTTATATATTCATTTATAAATTTGTTTAGACTCTTATTATTTTCTTTGTGTCATCCTATACAATTTTTAAAAATTCATATTTAATCGTGTCTTAAATTTAAAAAAAACTGAAAAAAATTTGCAATGTGATTCTGTTTGTTTCATCATCATCATCACTCCTTTGAGTTCCTCATGGAACATAGGGCCTCGACAAAAGCACGCCACTCTCCACAGTCTCTTGCTAGTTTTTTTTATGGTTTCCCAGCTCTTCCCAGTCCTCTCGGCTTCTTCAAGTACACTGCGTCGCCATGTTCTTTTTGGTCTTCTTCTGTGTCTTGTTCCCTGGGGGTTCCACTCTAAGGCCTGCCTAGCTCTGTTGCTAATATCTTTTCTAAGGTTGTGACCAATCCATCTCCACTTCCTCTCTAAGATGATTCTGTTTGCTTACTTGCACTAAATTATGTAATTGTTTTTTTTTTTATATCAACCAATGTCTGATGATTATTCACTAAAAATATTTTTTTCAACTAATATAGGCTCAGAGAAAACCTACAAATGTGATCTAGTTCTTCTGGCAATGGGTTTTGTTGGCCCTGAGCGCAAGATTGTTGATGAACTGTCTGTACCCATTGACCCCAGAGGAAATGTGGATACGTTAAATGGGAAATATAATACTAGTATTCCCAAACTGTATGCTGCTGGTGGTAAGAACACATTTTTTTGTTGCTGTAATTATTGTTTTAGTATTTTAAAAAAAATCAAAGTTTAATCTTTTCAAAGGGGATGTGGTGGCTGAGTGTTTAAGCGCTTAGTTTCCAAACCCAGAAGCCCTTGATTTGAATCTCAGTGAAACCCTCGTTAACCATTGGCCATAGAAACAGATGATTTTTACATCATCTGCCCTAGAGATCACAGGAACACAAGATACTGAAATTTATCTTTTGTGCAATACAGAGTAGTTTAAGGATTAAGGCTAAAGTTGCATTGGGACATATTTCTTCTTTCATAAATAACTTATCTCATAGTTCTCCTTATTTCTATCTTTTGTAGTCATCAAATTATTTTTTTTTAACTCAGATCTTACTTTTGTTTATTTTGTCAGTAATCCTCAAAAAAAAATTTATGTCAAAATCCTTATGAAGTCATCATTCTTGTCCACAGATTGCAGGAGAGGTCAGTCCCTTGTTGTCTGGGCAATTAATGAAGGCAGACAGGCAGCACGTCAAATAGACATAGACTTGATGGGTGAAAGCAGCTTAGCTGGTCCTGGTGGAATTGTGAACAAAAATGTTGCATAAATTTTTTTGCACGTACTGCATTTGATCCAATGTCTTCAGAACAATCTTTTTTTTTTCATAATTCTGTTCAATACATTAAAAAGTGATTGCTTTAATTTATCTGTGACAGCTGAGAACATTTATTACAAATAAGGACATGGAACCTAAAATTTAATAGTAGAACATCTTATGTTGTTATTGTTTTGCAACTGATTTTTAAAAATGCAAAGTTTAGCAACTTTTTAAAATTTTCATTATACTTTTTTTATGATTGACTCTGGGATGTCAATATTTAATAATTGCATGATGTTTTGGGTGTAAAAATTTGTGAGAGTGTGGAGCTTTTCACTTCTAGAATTTGTATTATTTTACTTCTTTAATTTTTGTGTTTTTTTTTTTTTTTTAATTTTTAAAATTAACCCTTTGCTTCTGCTTTCCATTCAATTAATATAAATAATAGAGAAATTTGTTGAATCCATTGTGAATCCTAACTACTTACTAGTACACAAGAGAATAAAAATAAGAGTACTGCTGATAATTATTTACCTTTATTATAGTATTGAAACTGAGAGCTTGGATTTTGACTCTTCTGTAGAAAAATGAATGCTCCAGTAGACCAATATTATAATCTATATGTTTCTTACTTTAGATCAATGGAATCATGCAAAGAAATATGTAATAGACATTTCTGTTGTGATGTTCTGTGCAACTCATGGCAGTTTTTTTTTTATTATTGGATTGGATTATTCTCACATTGTATCAATTTTATTTTAATTATTTGAAATCATTATAGCAAATACATATTTTGTTCTTATTCAGGAGAATTTGTGACTGAAGTATTAGCCTGTTGATAAAATCATTTCTTTTCTTATCTTGTTTTATGAGTAATTTTCAACCATTCAACTCTAGATCCTGAATGAGTCACTGTCTTGTGAAAGAAATGTGTCAGCTTCATAGTGTATTTGTAAAAACTATCATTTCACATTTGAATCAACATGTAGACAAAAATTAATAGTAGTAAATGAAATTTGAGATTCTCCATATTAACCTAAATTAGGTTCTTTTCCCAATACTGATGACTTCATTTCCTGACTTGATACCCTGTATTATTTCATTTGTACTGGTTTTCATGGACCTCTTAAAATTAATACTTTCATTTTATAGCCTGTCTTTTGCTTATATAATTTTATGTTTCTTTGTAATTATTAACATTATTTATACTTTTTGTTTGTCTTGCTAACAATTGGATTATGCTGGTTGTGAGTTATATGTGAAATGAACCAGATATAATTATTAAACAAATTTAATTTTTTTGCAATGTGAAAAGTCTTTTTTTTTTATCTAGACCTGTATTGTATTTAAAGAGTGCATTTGTGATATAAAAAAATTACATTACAAAAATTATATATATATATATTTGATATATGTCAGTGCTAGCAACCAATGTCACTTTGATGTTATGTCTTATTACATGTAACATATATTGGTTGTACTGAACACACTTTGTTTTTGATGAGGAAGTAGGTTGTAATTTAGATCAATGACTTTTTTTTTTTTTCTTGTGCAGGTAGGATCATGATTTTCTTTTTATTCTATATTATGTCAAGACATGTCATTTTGAAAAAAAAACTGTAGATTTTCTGATTAATGTGTAAATAACCTTTTTATTTTTATCTGCTGGAACTTTCTTTTGTTACAAGGAAAGCTTATAAGATGCTGGCTATATGCCTGTTTGGTTTTACACTGCATTACTCTCCCAAATATAAATATTTTTAATATATTCAATTACTTCATAACATTCAACATATTGTTAAAAAGTCTAAATAACAAATATATAGGTCTTTCTGTGTAGATGAATATATCTTTTCATGATTAACCTATTTCCTAAGTATGATGTAATCATCTTCTTTTTTGAAGTAACGTCTATATCTTATATGATATTCTCCTCGAGTTTTTGATAACAAGATGGAGTCACTTTATTAGGATTAAGCATGTTCAGATATGTTTAACTAATGATCTTGCTTGATACAAAGGGCATTGTCTTCAAGTCTGAAGGTTAAGATAAATTGCAGAATTGTTCAAGTAGCTACATAGACAGTGACTTACATATTTTATATAATTGACATCTGCTTGTTTTTTTCAATGTATTTATTCTTTGGGCATAATGTAATCAAAGCTAAATAGGGTAGCTTGAATATGAAAATTGATTCTATTTCATCTGTTTCTAATAATTATTTGTGTAAACTTAATTTTTTAGTTTTAAAAACTATGCTTAGATGCCTGTACTTATGATTTTTTTAAAAAGATAATGAAAATATAATTTGAAAAGTATTGGTCTGTTTGATTTTAGTTTGCTTTTTATTTTCAAGTTATTAATGATTTATACAATGTCACTGCACAGTTTCCCAAAGAGTCATATTTTGTTGGCAGTTTTTAACTGCCTGATTATTTATATAGTTGAATAGCTGCCTTAATCAATGTTTTAGTTTTTACACTGTTCTTTGATCTAGACATTTATTAAGTCAATTAGTTTTACTTTGATAAAAATTTGATGCATAATTTTGTCTTTCTTGCACTTTGAATGAATGATTCTTTGTTTTTTTTTTGTGACCTACATTTTAAGGGCAGTTGTTGTGACATGCTAAACATAGTGTCATTTGACCATGGAATGGGACTAGAAAAAGTTCCTATCTGCCACTTTAGTTGCTTAACATTTTGTCTTTTACCATTGCTCAAACTTGAAAGACAAGTGATATTCTTGAGTGCAGTATTTTGTATTGTTATATAGAAGTTTGTTGACCTGAATATACATAATAGTTATAAAAGTTTTGTTGACATTTTGAAATATGTTGTGATAAATAATATGAATTGTGTAGATCACCCTAAAAAAAAAACTACTACTAATAATCAATATTACAAAAAACAATGTCCACAATTTTGTACTCAAGTAATGCATATAAAATATAAAAATACATAAAAATCTTGCCAAACCCAGTCAAAACAGGCTTGTAAATTAAGTAAATGTAACTAAACTTTTATAATTTCATTTTTGAGTAGGCACTCATAGAAATAATTTGAACCAAAGCGATTGATGGGTTCAACATTTAGCTATGAATCTTGAGATTCTATTAATCCTGGTGGAGATGTTATTAAACTCAGGGCTGGAATTCATCTAATTCTTGGCTTGGATAGGGGGGGGGGGGAGAGGAAGTAAATGAGATTAATCATTTTACACATAACTTTAGCAAATAATTGGCCTCAGAAACAGGTAAATTAAAACTGTAGCTTCCTTTGAAATGTTCATGGTTCTTCAAGACTTGTACAGACATTTCTCAGAATTTTGTCCATGTAATGAATATTGTTCCTATAGCCAGTAGATAGTAATCTAGTTTCAATATGTAGAAGAAGTAGCTATTGTGATCTCTATTGTCATTCATTTTTATCTAGTAATCAGAGTGTAGTCTATATTTTAAAAATATTTTTTTTTGTGCAGTTTAGAATTGAAGCAATAAATTATCTGCAGAACTTTACAAATTTTTAGTGTTTTTTTTTTATGTGTGCTTTTTATTTAAGTCTTAAATATTTGAGGCTGAAACAGCAATTGGAAAACTAATGCCTGGCTCACACGGTCTTCTGGCAAAGTTTTCAAAATGGGCGTGCTGCTCTCATGGAAAGTTTAACAGACTTGTTCCCCCTTTGATGGGTGGCTACCATCACATCTCTGTAAGACTACCGACTGCTATAATTACTAAACTTTTATTAGTAAGTAAACTCGTAGACAGACTGCCCTAATTCCTTAGTAGGCCTAATTTTTGTTGTCTGAAAGCCATTGTGGTTAAGAGCTGGTAGAGGTAAATTGGTTCATCATAATGCTTGAAATCAAATATTTTATTATTCTTATTTTTTGTTCTTATTCTAGTTACGGTATATCTCATCATGTACATTCTAGAACACAAGCCAATTTTCTTGCTCTCAGGATAATATTATCTTAACATTTTATAGGATCTTAGGTCTCTAAAGTAATTTGCAGCCTTTTCATTGCTGATATAAAATTGAATTTAAGCTGATGTAACAGTTTACTGTTGATGATTATGATTCAATTTAATTATAATATAAAATTATATATACCAATACAACAAATAAATTTAAAATTCTTCAGATTATTTGCAGACGATTGCATGGTATATAGAACAATAAAAGCAACACAACATATTGACATTTTACAAAAGCAATTAGAAATCTTAGAAATAGCAATCAAATTAGAGCATCCATAAAAGTGCCAGTTATTAAGAGTAACAAAAAAGTCAAAACAAAAAAAAACAAACTATTTCATTCATGGTAAACAATCACACAAACTAAAAACTCAAAATATCTAAGTGTAATAATAAATGAAAAGCTATAGCATCAATGAAATATTTTAAAAAATCAAGTAAAACACTTGGGTTCATTAAAAGAGATTTTTACAAATCAAACACGAATATAAAACTAAAATGCTATTTAACTTTAGTAAGCCAATATTAGAATAAACATCCTCTGTTTGGGATCCTTCAACTAAAAAACAACAACAAAGAAACTAAAACAAATAGAAAATAGAGCAATGACATTTATAACAAACGAATATTCCACTTTGATTAGAGTAACGGTACACCATATAGTCAAATCACTCAACTTAGAGACACTTAAGGACAGGATAATAAAAGGTTAAAGTAGTTATAATACAGAAAACACTGAACCCTAACTTATAAATAGAAAAACAAAACCTAAAGAAAAACACAAAGATATTTCTTATTCCAAAATATTACCCTACCCTTTACCTTTACCTATCCCTTAGTCTGTTGGACCGTTGGGGCACCAGGCAAGACTTGTCGACCGTCTTTCTCCATTCCTCCCTTTTTTTTGCCTTGTTTAGAACCTCTCTCAATGGCAGGCCCGCCCATTCTTTAATGTTGTCCTCCCATCGCTTTTTCAGTCTGCCTCTTTTTCTTTTCCTGGCACTGTTCCCTGAAGGAAGGTCTTTGCGAGCCCTGTAGATCTTGTAATGTAATACGCTAGAACAATTCGTAAAAGTGCTCTTTCTCTCTAGTAGGCCTACCACTAGAGAATGGAATGGGTTATGCCTGAATCAGCCAGGACAACCAACGACTTAGCAAAGTTGAGTTTAAATCATTATTTAGCAAACATGACTGGATTGACACATGAGATGCTTAGGACGTAATTATCTTCTTTTTTGAAGATACGTCTGTAATTAATAAGATAAGACCTTTCGTCACGGTCATTAATTTTTTTTTAATTAAACTAATTTTTTTTTATGTTCAACCTTTAAATAAGGTTTGGTCCGCTCCTAAAATTTGGCCACCTGCGTGCAATTCACACATTACACACAATAAGATAGCTGTGGCACTGTAAAAAAAAAAATCGTTTTTTTCCTGAATCGTAGAGTCTACATTTTAAGTCGTTCGGTAAAGTTGTTATTGCTGGAAGTGATATTAATGGATATATAAAGCCTCATCTACCCATGGAGATCTACCTAAACTGTCCTAAACAATGCTCTTCCGATGGCATGCGTCTCAAATAGCCCAAGACTCGAATCTTACAGCCTGTCCGAATTCTGATTTTCACGTGTGGTTCAGAAATCGATGTGAATCTTATGAGCCTATTGAAGTATGAAACGAACTGACAAAACAAGGAGCAAAGGTGAGTAAGTATTGCCTAAGCTTCGGGCCGGAGGGGCTGGTTAGCCTTGGCTAGGTAGGCCCCTACCCACCAACGAAAAGGTAAGCTGAATTCAAACCTCCGCTGCCTTGCAAGCAATATCAAAACAGTGGTAAAGCTTCGGGAGACAACACTGAGGAAAAATCAGGAGCCGGTGACCCTTAGGCAGCTTGCAGCACACAGTGCCTGCAATACCGCTGATCCCATTCGGTATTGGCACTTACTGTTCCTTTGGACACATCAGCTGCATGGAGAAGGGGAAATGCTGTACGAGATGATTCATGTCCATTGTCGATTCGGCTGAAGGAGGTCACATACATGTTAAGTCAATCCCAAAATACACTATTTTTATCTCTTAGTCTTTAACTAGACTTTTATTCTGATTTATTTTTTTTTTGGTAGAGAGATCTAGATGTAGTTCTACTTTCAATCAGAGGAATAAACTATAGTGTTAACTTTAAAAAAAAAGTATTTTATAATATTGCGAATGTTTTTTTTAAGGGTAATTGTAAATAAACAAAGAAACGGTCAAAGGTCATCACTTCTGGTCAAAGGTTGCAAAACTAAAGCATAAAATTATTATTCTAGACCTGTTAGTAATATATATTATAATTATTATATGTCTAGATCTACTATATTTAGGCTACTTTATTTAAGTTATAAATATAGCATCTACATTTTGTAAAATTAATACCACCTCAACATCCCTAATAATAGGCAGCATTTACAGACCACCAAATTCTAGTTTAGAATACATGCAGGAACTATGTAATCAGATTACTACACTTAAAGAGACAAATAAAAATGCAGTTTTTTGGATTATGGGTGATTTCAACCTACCTGATATAAATTGGAAAACACTAACCATAGATAAACACCAAAACCCTAAGGACATAAATGAGCTTTTCATAGAAACTTTACACAACCTAAGTTTAGATCAAATCATTAAAAAGCCAACTAGATTAAACAACACATTAGATCTCTTCTTAACCAACAGACCTGGATTAGTAGTTGATTATGATATTATCCCTGGTCTATCAGACCATGAGATCATAAAAATACAGTCAGATAAAAGCAGTAGCCAATACAAAACCCAAAAGAAAAATCTTACTCTGGAATAAATGTAACCTAACACAACTACACCTAGCTGCATTAAACTTTTAACAAACATTCTTATTAGAAAAAGACATTAACCAACCAGTCGATGACCTCTGGAATTTCATCAAAAACCATCTTAAAAGCATTATAGAAAATCATATACCAACTAAATACACATCAAACAAAATAAATAAATGCTGGTTTAATAATAGACTAAAGAAGCTTTGTAAACAGAAGGAAAACCTATATAGAAAATTTAAAGAAACCAAGGCAGAAAGAGTTTACAAAAAGTATATAAAAATTAAACACCTAACCCAAAAAGTAAGCAGACAGCTGCAGAGTGAATACATAAACAATGTAATATCTAAAGATAACAACAAAAACCTATGGTCATACATTAAGTCTAAGAAAATGGAAACAACAGGCATAGCGCCATTAAAAGATGAACATTACATAATACATAATGAAACTAAAGCAAACATCCTAAACAAATACTTTGCATCAGCATTCTCAGCCCCAGGAGACAAAGACATATTTCTTAATTTGAACCAAGTAGACAACATAGAAGATTTAGTAGTACAAGAAAATGGAATTCAAAAACTATTATCCAACACCAAACCAAATAAAGCATCTGGACCTGATGGTATTCCAGCTAGATTACTCAAAGAACTAAGCAATGAGCTAGCCCCAGTGTTCAAAATACTCATTCAGGCATCGCTTAACCAGGGCAGAGTACCAAAGGACTGGAAAGAAGCTAATGTCACCCCCCTATTTAAAAAAGGAGAGAATCTGACCCAGGAAACTACAGACCAGTATCACTTACCAGCATCACATGTAAAATCCCAGAACATATAATATGTAGCAACATCATAAACCACTTAGACAAACATAATGTCCTCACACCATACCAACATGGCTTTAGGAAATATAGATCATGTGAAACACAACTAATAGGACTAATTGATGATTTTTCAAAAGGTTTAGATAATAGTGAACAAATAGATGCTATTTTACTAGATTTTTCCAAGGCTTTTGACAAAGTTCACCACCATAGTTTGCTTAAAAAATTATAATATTTCGGCATTAATGGTCCACTGCATCAGTGGATTAAAGATTTTCTGATAGGGAGAGAACAAACTGTAATAATAAATGGCTCTAAATCAACACCAATAACAGTAAACTCAGGTGTACCTCAAGGAACAGTCTTGGGTCCACTACTATTTTTAATTTACATAAATGATTTACCAAATTGCATTAGTTCAGGAACAAAAGTCAGATTATTTACAGATGATTGCATAATATATAGAACAATAAAAACAACACAAGACACAGATATTTTACAAAGAGAATTAGATGAATTACAGAAATCAGAATCAAATTGGAGCATGTCTTTCCACCCAGAAAAATGTCAGTGGTTAAGAGTAACAAAAAAACTAAAACAAATTAATTCCACTTATCTTATTCATGGCAAACCAGTAACACAGACTAAAAACGCAAAATACCTAGGTGTTATAATAAATGAAAAACTGTCATAGAATCCACATATTGATGAAACTACAAAAAAATCCAACAAAGCATTAGGGCTTATTAAAAGAAATTTCTATAAATCAAATAAGAACATAAAACTAAAATGTTATTTAACCTTGGTTAGGCCAATAATAGAATATGCATCCACCGTTTGGGACCCCTTAACTCAAGAAAACATTAAGAAACTGGAACAAACAC